TTGAGAAAAATAAGTTTGCGTACATATATTATTACTACATTTTTTCTTTTTTTTTAATGTCTTTTGATTACTTCAATTTCCGGTTCCAAGTGAATTCGCTTGAGGTCCTGTATAAATTCTTCAATACACTCCTTTTATGGTTTTTTTTTTATAGTTATGGCTACTTCCTAATATTAATTTGAACTTCTTAATATTAGTCGGGTAACGGTCTTGTCAGCTATAATACTGTGAATAACATTCATGTCATTTTATTAAGGTCTTTAATTAATTCTTTTACTTGTAATGCGTTCGTTTTGTAAACCTTGAGTTTTTTATATCACTGAAGAGGGTTCATGATTGAGTCGAAACGTTTGATTATTTATATTAAGTATTCATGTTCAATAAATATTGCTCTATTTCCTAACACAAGGAAGGTTTTACCCATATGGTACATAGCACTATTAATCCTGTGCTTGAACTCGAATTAGCCCTTTTTCCTATTATTTAATTTGATATCATTGTTATTAAGTTCTTATTGTCTTACTCTTAGAGAACAAGATATAAATTATTTCACGATGATCGCTAGGTCGTCGTTTAAACAATGAATGTATACACATATCTGAATTGCTAAAAACTACATTGAAAAGCATATCGTTCGTTGCAATGACTGCCGATATTTGATTAAACAATCATAAAAGTTTAATGGGAATAACGGTACATTGGGTGAGCCACCCTTAGTAAATAATATAAATATATGCATAAACAACCCAGTAAACATTTCGTAGCATCGATGTCTATAAGACATCTAAAAGATATCTAAAAAAAGTTATTTTTAAGACATTTCTAAATGATGTCTAAAAGACACATAAAAGACGTCTTGAACAATATATCTTGAAAAGGACATCTAACAGACATCTAAAAGATATCTAATACAAAACATCTTGAAGACACTTCTAAAAGGTATCTCAAAGACATCTCATAAAAGATATCTTTCAAATGTATTTTATACACCTCTAAAAGATGTCTAAAAGATATCTATAAGTCGTAGCCAATCACAGTGAAGTGCTTCTGCGCTTGAGAAATGAGAAAAAAACACGTCCTCTAGCTTTATTGTTACGGAGGATTCATACCACGTGTCCGACATACGACGTCCGATATTTAATAAGAGAACAGCTTCCCAATGGAGAATTGAATTCTCTATTAGAAAGCTGTTCTCCTATTGGATATCGGGTGTCGTACATCGACATCAGACGCAGTGTGAATCCTACATTAGGGCCTCGCTATGTTAGAATCAGGGACGTCAGACTTGCTTCGCTTTCGTTCAGAACAGTCTTTACGTAGTTCTTTGCAGTTTTTATTCGTTATTTAAGAGCAACGAATTTTTAAAGGTAAGTAAATAATTTATTATGAAATGTGATAAGCTTCTTGCATAATGTCCAGGCAACTTCGATAAAAAAATGAGAATAACAACGAGTCCGATTAAGGAACAGGCAGTAGAAATCGAATTCTGTCGCGTTGGATTTGTTGTTGCTGTGCTATTTCATTTGTATCTTTATTAGTGTTGTCTGGCATTGTACAAAGGTTTTCATGCACGACAGATTGTGGTGTGACACTTTATAACCTCAACAGACGACGTAGTCGAATAGCTGATGAGCTCCCATCGATAAGAATATTTTTCAAAAAGATATTTTTCAATGTTTAGTATAACTGTATAGAATATGTCATTCTGAATCTATCACGAAAATCTCAGATTTTGTAGAAAGTAACTTTAGGTCGATTAATTGAAATGTACACTTACCCACAAAGAAAAAACGGG